AGGGCGGGGGGGCGGGGCTGGTTCTGTGCTGTGATTCCTGGCTCTGCTGACTTTCCAGGAACACAGAGCAGCCTCCTGGGAGTGGCTCCGAGAAAACCCTCAGGCACAGATGCAGGTCCCACAGCTGCAGGCAGCATTGCCCACCGATGTGTAAGCCCAGGCACCGCGCGGGGCGCCGCCGCGACCAAGGGGCTCAGGTACAGAGCGGTTGTCCTAGTACGAGAAACCACTAGAACCACCATCTTTGGAGTGAATAGATCTGGGTTGGAATCTTGGTTTGGTCACTTAATTATACCTACTTTCTAAGGTTACTGTGAGGATTAAAAGGAGAAAGGAATATATAGAATGCCTAGTAATCTATAAGTGTCCGCAATATCAGATCATGATGATGTTAACATATATTGGCTTTGAGATTGGATAGACCTAAATTTGAGTCCCAACCCTACTGCCTACCAGCTGGGTATGCCACATCCCCTTTCTGCCTCAGTTTCCTTATCTGGAAAAGGTGGACGGAACCCACCTCCCAGGTCTCTGGGGAGAGAGGAAAGGTGTGGTGTGTGTTAAGTGCTGTGTGCTCAGTGCCTGCGCAGAGCAGACAAATGGATCCGTATGTTTGTACCATTGTCCTTCCAGGAGGCGTGAGGACCCCACCTGGGATGCAGCTCCACCAGGCCTATTCCAGTCCTTGATAGGATTCACAGCGAGGCCACGCTAGCATGGGGATAGGGTGGCCGTTCTGGGAAGAGGGCCTGCTAGTCATTAGGAATTGCCATTCTTCTGTTCACACCCCCGCCTGCTGGAGGTAGGACATCCACATGACTTGCTTGGCCAGTCGAGTGTGATAGGTGGCGCACTCCGTGGAAGCTTTAGGCGCGGTGGGGCCTGAACTGCGCATGCGCTCAGGGCGCACTGTGCACCTTCCTCTCCCGCGACCCGTGCAGGTTATGATGTTTGAGAAATAATCTGCAATTTGGGGGGATGTTTCCATAACATGACCTTGCTCAGAGGTCAGCAAACTAATGCTTGTAAGATGCGGGCACACGGCCCTGCCCAGTCTTTCCTCACCGGGAGGGCTGCTTTCAGCAGCTGCAGCTCAGCAGCCGCGTCCCAGACCACCTGGCCCTCAGCGCCTACTCTCATCACTGTCTGGGCCGGCAGGTCTGGCCGCCCTCACTAGCCTATCCTATCCTGAGTGCCACGGGGCTACTCGCCTTCTGCTGTGTCTCATCCAGGGGTTTGTGTGAAACCTGAGGTTCTGCACCTCGAATAACCTCCCAAAGGGTGTTGCTGCTGGGGAGGCTCAGGGCGGGGTCTCTCAAGCTCAGCTCAGCTCAGC